TGTCTAGAGGGGTGGGGTAAAAATCAAATAAATAAATAAGTAAGTAAGTAAATAAATAGATAAATAAATAAATAAATAAATAAATAAATAAATAAATACTTAGGAGAGAAGAATGAAACTGAAATGATTGAATAATGATTAGAAACAGCAGCAAATGAGCTTTAAACAAAATCTCAGGGCTCATATTGTCCACCCTGAAGAACCTGGCAACAAATCCAGAATCGCCAAGGAGGATTTGCGTGAAATCTTGGAGAGCCATAATCAGACAAACTGTACAGGGGCCAACTCAGCATAAGGCAATTTTCCATATTCCTATCATGTAGAGTTATGGTCTTTAGCATAGTTACTATGAAATGAGGTTGATTTATCTGAGACCTAACAATGCTGAGGACTAGGATGTAGAAGAGGGATATGAATTGTGCAGCCCAAGGTTCATATGCAGGTAGCAGAGCTCTCAAGTGTAGCTTCCAACCTTCCATTCCATGAGCCCTCCCACTAAAATAATGCCCAGTCATGTCCTCGGAAACCTCAACAGGGATGACTGAGCATTAGACACTTTTTCAGGTGTGGTCTCTTCCAGTTTTGATAAAAGAGGCAAGTGTGGCTCAGCAATGTCCTGGGGTGAAAACACACTAACTGCAGCCTCCAAACCTTGGTGGCTGCTCACTTCTGCTCTAGAGGTACTGGTAGAAAGCAATTTGCATCAGCTAAATTCATTTGAAATCTAAATGAGAGTGAGTTAAAACTGTCTTGAGTTTGGGAACTGAAGAGAGCTAAGTGTAGTGGCCTGATCCAGAAAAATACTGAAAGAGGTCATCTGCAGGTCAAAACCCTCAACTATTGTTGTATGAGTCTGTCATGTCCATCATCAGCACAAGTGTTTGGTGTTTTTAAACAAAACTTCAGGGGAAAATGCTTTTGATAAAGTAGAGTAAATGGAAATGATCTCCATACTGCATATTTTAAGCATTACTCTTTCGTGTATTTTTTCCTGAAGTAATTGTATTATTCATAACAGGAAAGGAAATATATTTAAATGTAGCCAGATAGAGATATATTATTTAGCACATCAGGTATAATAGGTGACCGTCCGACAAATGGTGACAGTTAAAAACAAATCTGGAAAATCAATTGGTGCAACTCTCCTTGTAACCAAAGGGAAATACAGATCCCCCATTTTATTTTATTTTATTTGCCACTTTTGACATTTGGTTCATTAGAAGATCTACCTTTCACGTGTGAATCGCCAAAGTCCTATAGGGGTTTTTTTAATAGAAAAGGATAATTAATGATGAGCAATATGCTCAAAAAGTGTTTATTTCTTCTGCTTATAAAAGTGTTGCTATGAGCTCCTGCTTGGTTCCTAATGAAAAATAAAATATGGGTGTCTGGGACAAGCCCCCTTGATATGAATGAGAACTGCACAAAATAATGGCCATGCTACTGTATCTATCATTTGTTTTGGTGTGGCTTGTACCGCAAAACTCCCTACCCTGTTTCCCTGAAAATAAGACCTAACCTGGAAATAAGCCCTAGTAAGAGTGGTCCTCACCCGACCAGATAGGCGGGATATAAATTAAATAAATAAATAAGATTTTTCAGGATGCTTGTAATATAAGCCCTACCCCAAAAATAAGCCCCAGTTGAGTGAAACCTGGCCCTCCACCATTGTGCAGCAACCAGAAGAAGTTAACATGACTATGAAATAAAAGATCTCCTGAAAACAAGCCCTAATGAGTTTTTTTGGAGCAAAAATTAATATAAGACCCTGTCTTATTTTCAGGGAAACACGGTAGGATTAATTTAAATTAAATTGTGCCTGACAATCAAATTGTCTGTACAAAACAATTGTAAATGTATGAACAACGGGAAATCTACTTTGAACAAAAAAGCATTTGAAGTCAAGATGACTGTGCAAAGAATCATGGGTCTGCTGGTATTGATCACAAAATTGAAAATAATACATTGACATTTTTTCAAAAAGAGTAAGGTGAAGAAAAACTCCATAGGACCTTAAATGATGCCTCTCTGTAATTTGCTCACTTGTGAGGTGCATAGTCAACACTGTCTCTAGGATTGTTTAGGCTCATCCTGTCAGGAGTCGGTTAGACATGGTACCGGTAGCATGCACACATGTTGAAGAGTAAAGTTGTTAGTGTGGAGCTCAGAATGAAAACTAACAACCTGAAGTCCATACTGTGCATTTCTTGGTAGGCCATCATGCTTCAAATTGCCAATGAGGGATTAAAGGTTTTGGACTTGAACTAAAGAGATTGAGGCTATAAATCCCCATTCAACCACGAAACCGGTTTGACAATCTTGGGCCTTTCATCTCTGTGAGAGCCAGTGGGGTTGTCATGGTTACAGTGCTAGATGGGGAGCTGGGACGTCCAGATTCAAGTCACCTTTCAGCTATGAAACTTACTGGTTGACCTTGGATCAATTACTTTCTCTCAGCTTGACCTACCTCTCAATTAATGAAAGTGGGGAGGAAAGCCATCTTTGCCACCTTGATTTCATTGAGAGAAAAAACATGGAATATAACTGTAACAAACAAAATATTTCTCAACCTACCTCACACAGTTACTGTGATGATAAACTGGAGACAGGGCAGCCATGTGTACTGTCTTGAGTTCATTGCCAG